TAATAGACTACCTCAAAGCTTAGTGACTGCAAACAATGACTATTTATTTAGCGCATGGTTCTAAGAGTCAGCAACTTGGTCTCGGCTCAGTTGGAAAATTCTTCTGGTCTCAGTTCACTCACACATAGGCAGTCAGTTACTGCTTAGCTGGGAAGAAGCTACACTGCTGGGGGTTGGCTGATGATTTTCCCCAGGGTGATGGGAGAGATTGGACTATGTGTGTATTATCATCTGGCAAGCTAGATGGTAAGTAAGACTGACCTCTAGTTCCTTGAGCCTCAGTTTTCTTATCTGTAAAATGGAGATATGTAATAAATTGCTGAAAGGATTCATCATTAATAAAAGAGGGACTTAAAACATGATCACCGTCAGCATCTTTATGATCCTTTTTAATAATTTCAGCTGATCCACCAGGTAACATGTACTGCATCGCATCCCTATTTTTCACTCACGGGCAAGTCCTCCTCTCTGGTCAATGGCTCTGTGTCTCTCTGCCCCACTGCCTTTTGCCCTTCCGTTATAAAAACAAGCCATGCTTGGTCCCCAAATTGGACCTGCGCATCACACTCCATCTATTGCAAGTCTGGCCACATCCAGCCCAGCTGTGGACGGGAGTGGAGCAGGAAGGGACGAGATGGGGCCTGTGGGGCCAAGTGGTCAGGAACCAGTTCCAGGAGTCACTGGGAGGGGTCCGAGGCAGACCACAAGTCACTGGGAATGGACAAGAAAGCAGATGTGAGGAGAAGAAAACAGATGCACTAACCTGGAAATAACCATTTTCTAAAAAAGTCTCAGGCTGATCTGAGTTCTTAATTTTGCCAGAAGCATCTTGCTAGCCTGCAGCCATTTCAAAGCCTTGAAGGCATGTCTAGGTGTTCCTCTGCTTACTGCTCCTAATAGAACTTCATCCAGTTTTCTCAAAATTGCCAGTGCAGTTTTTCCTTTACGTTAGCTCTCTTATTTCCCAGCCTTGAGTGTAAGATAATGCTCCCTTCCAGGGCTTCACACATCAGCTCCTTGAGCCTCACTCCCTAAGTAGCCAGGACCAAAAACCACTCAAAGGAAGGCTCACCCCGAAGGACTCATCCTTATAAGCCCATCAAGGGTCCTCTGCCCGGTTGGGAGTAGCTTTTCACAAGAACTAAATTAAGGTGCTATATTTTCTTTTTCAAAATGAAAACACACTTGTTAACAAAAAGCACACCCTATGTTTTAATTTTCACTCATAATTGTGAATTTGTTCTTGTTAACTCCTGAATAAAATAACATGCAATGGAGCGCAAGATGTAGAATCCCCTTCCCTCTCCCCCTCCAGCAATATCTAATTATTCCATTTGGTATTAAAATCATAGCTCTGCACTCAAGGTTATGAGACCACAAACACCCACTAGAATAACAGAACATAAGACATTGATATCTCCTGGAATTGCATGATTATCACGAAGAACAATTAAATATTTTAACAAGCACAGTGTACTTTCCCCGTGCAAGGCATACTCTGAACACTTCACAAGCACTGTTTCTTACCATCTTTGCAATAACCCTATGAGGTAGGCAAAAGCAACATTTTGCAGACAAGGAAAGCAAAGCATAGAAAGGTAGGGTTATTTGCCCAAGGTCACACAGATAGTCAGAAGTAGCACAGGATTTGATGCAGTGTGCATAGACACTATACTATGCGCCAAGCATCATGACTAGAACTTTCCATCAAACCTGGGAATGTGACCATCACCAGAACCTGCAGTGGAATCCACAATATCAAAACAGTGAGTTTGAGTGTCTTCTGATGGCCACTCTGAGACACCACAACCTTAAAGCCAGGCTTAGCCTTGAACCTTAGTCAGCCTGGGCCAATTCTTATTTTGGCTGAGTCACCTCACCTCCTAAGCCTCGGTCTCTGCTGCTGAGGATTAAAAGGCATAATACTTGCAAAGCATTTAGAGCAGAGCCTGGCATATCTTTAGAGTTTGATAAATATCAACCACTGTTATTACTATCATTTTGCAGATGAGAACATTTAGATGGAGAAAAGCAAAGGACTCCCCCAAAGCAAAGCCACACAGCTGGGGCAAAAGGGGCACAAATGGTGCCCCATGACCACACGTCTTGGCTGCCCCAAGCAGATTCTACTAAAGCAGGTGTGGATTCATTTTGTCACGTCCCCTATCCCACCTGCCAGCTTGGATATCTGCTTATTTCAAGGGTACATCATGGTTCTTGACCTCAAAGAAACCCCTAAATCAGTCAGAAAGGAAAAATGTTTGGAAATCCAGCCTTGCCCCGCCAACCCATAGCCAGGCTGCTCCTTGTAAAAGCAAGCAGGTTTCTGGTCACCACTCACAAGCCAGTGTGTTGAATCAGTGTTTGTTTATGTCAAGGCAGAACCCCAGTGGCTGTGATGGTTGGAGAAAGCAAATGCGAACCAACAAGGGAGAGATGGCCACGAAGGCAAACGAACAGCCAGCAATCGATATGATTAAACTGTCGGGAAGCCGGGCACCGAACTCAAGCGGGTTTGCTGCCTGTTTAAAGCATTTATCTTAAAGGCTGAGATGCCTAGAGTCTGCTGAGAGAACAAGTTTGCATTTCAAAGATGCCTCAAGGAGAAGTGATATCCCAGCCTGCAAACAAGGTCTTTGAAGGTTCGTAATTTCTCAGCATCTAGCAAAACAATCACTCCATAAAGGCGGCTTAACTCTAGCAGAGGTTGAGCTACGTTGAGATGGGGCATCTTTCCCCACCAGTGATCCTGAGAGTTTCTCTATCCATGTGATATATATGGGGGAATCCAATAAAACAGAATTTATTTATTTAAAATTGTATATTTATTCTTCAGTCACCTCCAAAGTACTCTTTGTTAGATGTAATACTCTTATTGAGAGGCTTTTTCCACTGCTCAAAACAGTTTTTTAATTCATCAATTTTGATGCCTTTTAGTGCTTCTGCCAGTTTTTGTTTTACCTCTTCCACATCAGCAAAATGTTTCCCTCTGAGGACTTTTCTCATCCAGGAAAACAAACAAAAAAAAGTTACTTAGGGCAAGAGCGGTGAATGGGGGGTGGGGGGTGGGCATGAGGATCATGCTGTTTTTGGTTAAAAACTGCTGAACACTCAGCTTGGTGTGGGCAGGTGTGTTAGTAAATCACCATCATAAAATGGGCAAATGCATTGAGAGAATCTCCAAAAAAGAATTCACTGAAGCCAAACACAGCATTTCACAACAACACTAGCTGGCACACTATGCCAATGGGTTCCTAGAACAGGAAAGCCTGTATATAAGGAGCCCACCCTCCAAAAAATAATTCTGTTTTTTGGGGGTCCCCCTTATATATTTTTTTCTTACATTTTATTATATTTTAAAGATGTGGGATTAGCTAGATAAGTGGTCATCATAAAGGTAAATTGGGGCCTCACTTTGGTTCCACTTGACTTAGTTTGAGATCAGGTATCTTTATTGGTGTTATGTGCTGCCCCCCTCCCCTGGAAGTACCCCGCACCTGCCAATCCCTTTCTTATAATATTATGATTAATGTTCAGGGTCCGCTTATGAATGAGAACACGTGGTAATCGGTTTTTACTTCTGTGATAGATCACTGAGTGTTATGGACTCTAAATTCATCCAAGTTGCCACAAAGTCCATAATTTTGTCCTTCTTTATGACTGTGTAATATCCATCATGTATATGTACCATTTTTTTTTAATCCGGTCTACTTTCAATGGGCAGGCCAGTTGGTTCCATGTTTTTGCTATTGTAAATAATACTGCAATAAACATACATGTGCAGGTATCTTTTTCATAGAATGATTTAAATTCCTCCAGGTATATTCCCAGAAGGGGCATTGCTGGGTCGTATGGAAGGTTGATATTTAGATTTTTTAGGAATTACCACACTGTTGTCCACACAGGCTATACTAGTTTACACTCCCACCAAAAGTATAGAAGTTTTCCCTTTTCCCTACAGCCTCTCTAGTATCTGTTGCTTTTTGAGTTATTAATGATGGCCACCCTGACTGGAGCTAGTTGCTATCTCTGTATGGTTTTGATTTGCATTTCTTTGATGATTAGTGAGGTTGAGCATTTTTTCATGTATCTGTTGGCTGCTCATATGTCTTCTCTTGAGAAGTGTCTATTCATATCTTTTGCCCACTTTTTAATGGGGCTGCTTGTTTTTTTCCTTTCAGCACATTTGAGTTCCTTGTAGATCCTGGATGCTAGGTCTTTGTGAGATGTACAGTTGGAAAATATTTTTTTCCATTCTGTGAGCTGTCTCCCCACTCTCTTGATGGTTTCTTTTGCTTTTCAGAAGTTTTTCAGTTTGATGAGGCCCCACTTTATCGTATCTCTTATGGCATGGGCTTTTGGGACTTTGATCAGGAATTGGTTGCCTATTCCAATTTCTGTAAGGGTGTTTCCTGATTTTTCTAAGATTCTTATAGTTTGAGGTTTTATGTTTCAGTCTTTGATCCATTTAGAGTTGATTTTTGTGTATGGTGCTAGGTAGGGGTCCACAGTCTTCTGCATGTGGTTGACCAGTTTTTCCAGCACCATTGACTGAATAGGTTCTCCTCTCTCCAGTGGTTGATGGTAGAGGCTTTGTCAAAGATAAGTTGGTTGAAATTGAGGTTTTGCTTCTGGAATCTCTATCCTGTTCCATTGGTCTGTATCACTGTTCTTGTACCAATACCAGGCTGTTTTCATTATTGTAGCCTTATGGTAAAGTTTAAAGTCTGGAAGTGTGATAACTCTTGCTTTGTTTCTTTTGCTGAGGATGGTTTTGGCTTTTTTTTTTAATGGAAGATGGAGAAAGGAGGGGCCAGTGAAGGCAAAAGTCCCTAAGTCACATGACCTCAGTTTTTCCAAAGGCCAAATGGACATATAAGAAATGACAATTAACAAGAGAAAGGTGGGGGACTTCCGGCAAGATGGCAATGGGGCAACCCAGTCTGTGAAAACCTCTGCAAAGGAGAACTGCAGTGGGTCTCTGACTCTCACCTCAGGGGCTACAGACCCCAACATCGCAGCCTGCTCTTCATACGGAGCATGGCTGTCGCCACCACTGGGGCATCACAGCGGTCTGGATAGCCACTGCAGCGCAGAAGCCACCACCGCAACCACAGCAGCCACTGCCACCGCCACCGGTAGCACATTGCACCACCCGGGCCGGAGGTGATCCACAACTTCAGTCCTTGAAGCCTCTTCAGGGAAGATCTGCTGGGATCGCTGCCACCTCTCCTGCGACCGAGACATCCTGCCCACCGTAAGTCACCTGCCGTCTGCCCTGAGGCAGGCAGCCATCTTGCCATCTTCAGCCTCTGCCGTCCCTGTCCGGACCCCCCCTCTGGGGCGAGCAGCTGAGATAGTACCACCTGCTGGCGATTCAAGGTAACAACACCGAAACAGGAAAAACAAGCTTGATAAAGACATAGGCCAGAGTGGTGAACAGAGGGTAATCTGAACTGTCCTTCACAGCAGACCAGGGGCAACTGACCCTAACTGCAAACTAATTTACCAGCTTGAAAAAAAAACTAGAAATCAGACCTGAAAGGACATGGGACTTAAACGAAATGTCTCAGAGTGTGCTTCATTGTTTCTGTTAGTTTAATGACTTAATGCTATTCCTACTGTATTGTTCTTTTTTTTCTTTTTTCCTCTTCCTTTTCTTCTCTTTTCTTCTCTCTGTAAACCATATCTTTGCATAGAGGAACAGCAAACTAATAAGGTGGTTGGATAGCTGGTATGTTAGCATCACTATATGTTTTATTTTTGTCTGTATGAGAGTTGGTTCATCTGTAGCTGTGGTCTATTGTTTTTATCTGTTTCAGTATAGACCTCTCTCTCTATTATTTGGCACACTCATTTGTTTCACCCCTTACTCCTCTATCTCTCCACCCCCCTCTTCAACCCACTCTCTGCTCCATTCTCTCCCCTCTGCTAACCACATTTTATTTCAGGGTGTAAACCTACAGCCCCACTGTACGGACAGATTCCAAGGCAGTGGGAAGTGGGTTCCAGATTATTCACACACCTGTCAGTGAGTACCAGGACCTGCAGATAGATTTTGAATCACAGCTCCCCCCTTAAGTAAATCTCAAAACTGCAAAAAGGACCACCCCCAACCTACAGTGCAACTCCAGAATTGAACAAAGTAAGAGGGCATACATAAAGAATAGGAGATTGAACAAACAGAAGTAAAACCAATCCCTTTACCCCGGAATAACAGAATTAAAGAAGACGGTGATGTGGAGGGAAGGAAAAAGTAGGGAGGGGGAAAAACTGCACAAATGAACAAAAACCAAAAGAAGAATATAGGTCTCACACAGACCCCTGGGAGATCAGACACTGAGAAAACAGATTCTGGAACACAAACAATGAAGAGCTCCCAGAATGACTGGTTACAGGCAACAAACCCAGACATCAAGATATTAATGGAGAGAATTAAAAAAAAAAATTGAGGAGAGACAAGAGGAAAATAGGAAGGAGCTGATGTCAGAAATGACAGCAGTAAAGAATACTGTGATGGAAATGAATAACAGACTAATAAGCATGGAAAGCAGAATTAGCCAAGCAGAAGAAAGAATCTCAGAGCTCGAGGACCAAAACACAGAACTAACCCAAACTGTCAAAAGCATAGAAAAGAGGCTCAAAAAGACAGAACAAAACCTGCAAGAGATGAATGATCACTTCAAGAGACAAAACCTAAGAGTAATTGGGCTTCCTGAGGCAGAGAGAGAAACAGAAGCCACACTGGAACAAACATTTCATGAAATCATTCAAGAAAACTTCCCTCATCTCACAAAGGATGAAAAAATTCAAACACAAGAGATTCAGAGAACCCCTGCAAGACAACAAATGAGAAGACCAACTCCAAGACACATAATGATTCGCCTAAACAAAGTAGCTATAAAAGAAAAAATCCTAAAGGCAGCAAGAGAAAAAGGCCAGACTACCTTCCAGGGAAACCAATTAGAATAGCAGCAGATTTATTCACAGATATCCTTCAGGCTAGGAGAGCCTGGACCCCTATCTTCAAAGTTCTAAAAGAGAAACAATTTCAACCAAGAATAACCTACCCATCCAAACTAAGCTTCATTAGTGAGGGAGAATTGAAATCTTTTCCAGATATCCAATTTCTAAGAACCTACACTGCCATCAGACCACCTCTACAAGAAACACTTAAGAAAGTACTGAACACAGAAGAAAAAGAAAAAAGAACAACATTCTTCACAAGAGTACAGGCAAAAGATTAAAAACACATATGAATCAACTCCAAAACCCAAGGAAAGACAACAAACAAATAGGAACAACTCTGTTAGAACCTTATGACAGGGATAAACTCTTGCATTTCAATTATTAGCCTAACCGTGAATGGACTAAATGCACCACTGAAAAGACATAGAATGGCAAAATGGATAAAATATCATCAGGCAACAATCTATTGCCTTCAAGAGACTCACCTCACTAGAAAGGACACCCACAGACTCAAAGTAAGAGGATGGTAAACAAACTTTCAGGCAAATGGAATACAAAAAAAAGGAGGAGTAGTGATCTTAATTTCAGACAAAATACCCTTCAAGCTATTAAGAATCAAAAAAGATACAGAAGGCCACTACACAATGAGAAAAGGCTCAATCCATCAACAAGAAATATCTATCCTAAACATATATGCACCCAACATAGGTGCACCAACTTTCAAAAAGCAACTTCTAGAAAACTAAAGAAAGATATTGATTGTACACCATCAGAACTGGGAACTTTAATACCCCACTCACAACCCTAGACAGATCATCAGGACAAAAAATCAGCAAGGAGATCCAGAACCTCAATGTGACTTTGGACCAAATGGACTTAATTGATACCTACAGAACACTCCATCCAAAGACCACAGAATACACATTCTACTCATCACCACATGGAACATATTCTAAGATCGACCACATACTCGGCCATAAATCAAGCATAAGAAAATTTAAAAGGACTGAAATTCTACCATGTACCTTCTCAGACCACAGTGGAATAAAAATAAACATTGACACCAACAAAGTCCCCTCAAAACCCAAAAAGACATGGACACTAAACAGCATGATGCTAAACAACTCCTGGGTCAATGATGAAATCAAAACAGAGATCAACAGATACCTAGAAACAAATGAAAATGAAGAAACATCTTACCAAAATCTCTGGGATGCCCTGAAAGCTGTAGTAAGAGGGGAATTTATATCCCTACAAACATACATGAAGAAAATGGAAGGAACACAAATTAACAGCCTAACAAGCCACCTAAGGAAGCTGGAAAAGCAAGACCACAAAAACCCTAATTTCAGCAGAAGAATCCAGATCACCAAAATAAAAGCCCAAATCCGCGACATAGAAGACAAAAAGATAATACAAAAAATCAATGAAACAAAAAGCTGGTTCTTCGAAAGGATAAACAAGATCCATGATCCCCTAGCTAGACTGACCAAGAAAAAACGAGGAAAAAACCAAATAAGCACAATCAGAAACACAAAAGAAGAAGTCACATCTGACCCTGAAGAAAGACAAAAGATCATTAGAGACTACTACGTACACTTGTATGGAAAAAAATTGAAAACCTTAAGGAAATGGAGGACTTTCTGACATCACACAACCTACCTAGGTTGGAACAAGAAGAAATTGAGACCCTAAATAGACCAATAACAATCGAGGAAATTGACTACATAATAATAAAACTTCCTACAAAAAAAGCTCTGGTCCAGATGCCTTTCTAGCAGAATTCTACAAGACATTTAAGGAGGAGCTGATAGCAATCCTACTGAAGGTATTCCAGGCGATTGAAAAAGATGGAACTCTCCGCAAATCATCTTATGAAGCCAACATCCCATTGATACCCAAGCCAGGTAAAGACCCAACAAAGAAAGAGAACTACAGGCCAATATCTTTGATGAACATAGATGCTAAAATTCTCAACAAGATCCTTGCAAACCGTATTCAGCAATACATCTCAAAAATCATCCACCATGACCAAAAATCATCCACGATGACCTGGGATGCAAGGCCGGTTCAACATTTGTAAAACCATAAATGTAATTAAATTCATCAACAGAATGAATTTAACAAAATTGACTCAGATGTCTTCTTTTGTGAAGTGTCTGTTCATATCTTTTGCCCATTTTATAATGGGATTGTTTGTTTTTTTTCTTTTCAGCATGTTTGAGTTCCTTGTAGATCCAGTATGTTAAGCCTTTGTCAGACCTGGAGTTGGCAAATACTTTCTCCCAGTTTGTAGGCTGTCTCCCTGCTCATGTGGTCAAAACAAAAACCACATGATCATATCATTAGATGCAGCAAAAGCTTTTGATAAAATCCAGCACCTTCTTGATAAAAACCCTTGAACATCTAGGCATACGGGGAACGTGCCTCAAAATAATGAAAGCAATCTACGAGAAACCCACAGCCAGCATACTCCTAAATAGACAAAAATTGGAACCAATTCCCCTGAAAACTGGAACAAGACAAGGATGCCCACTCTCACCCCTCCTGTTCAACATAGTATTGGAAGTCCTGGCTAGAGCAATCAGAGAAGAGGAGGCAATCAGGGGTATACAAATAGGAAAAGAGGAAGTCAAGTTATCTCTCTTTGCAGATGATATAACTGTGTACCTTGAAAACCCAAGAGAATCTGTCAAAAGCCTCCTTACATTGATAAAGGCCTTTGGCAAAGTCTCAGGATACAAAATAAATGTAA